TGCCTAGGGTACTATTTTAGAATTATAATAATGTTAAATTGCTATCGATTAGAGCTTTAAAAACACTTAAATTGTGCTACTTTATGGAATCAGATTTCAACATTTGTATTGAAAAAAAAATTGAAATCTAATATTGTATATGCAAAATAAAATTTACTTCCTAAATGTAGTGTACTTAATTGTGCCACCTTACGAACTTCAATGATAAATAGGTTTAAAATTAGTTTTTATTGTGAGTATGAACCAAGAATGGACAAAAAGAAAAAAAGATCCATATGTTTAATTGTATTTTATTATTGGAAAAATTGTATTTTTTATAATTGGTAATCTTTTGTTGAAATTAACAAAATTCGTATTTTTTTATTGGCAAGAAAAAAAACTTTTAAAATAAACTGATAGTTTAAATTAACAAAAATTTAGATTTTTTTAATCGGCAAGACAATCAGCTTTTAAAAAATAAATAACATAAATATATCCGATAGACACAAAATTAGGCCCGATTTTGTTTCCAAACTGACCCAATGTTTATATTTTAAATTTTCGAAAAAAATAAAGATATCAAATAGGCGGAATTATTCAAACTTTGGCCAAAAAGATTACTCAATTTAGTAAATATTTTAGGCAGAAAACTAAATATATTTTTTTTTGTTTTTAGTTACTATTTAAGTAAATATCATTGTCTCTTTATATGTAATAGATAAATTTATTACCTTGTCGATTATATTCAAGTATTCAATTTGAAAATGTATGTAATCTTACTCAATGGAAATTTTGTTCAATCTCTATCTGTAAGTTCAACTAATATGGGTTCCGTGCAGTACACGGGTAAGAGATATTCATTAATATTTATAAATTAAAAATTCAAATAATATTTATATAAAAAATATGAAATCAATATGTAATACATTTTACCTATACTAATTTACTAAAAATGTTATATGAAATTTAAATTGTGCAAAATTACATAAAAATGTCTATTCAGAATTAGTACACAACCCGTGCGGTGCACATAACTGATAATAAATTCATTATATTTGTTTCAAAATAAGTGTCATTTCAAAAATTTTATTCAAAAATTCGATTTGACTATAATGTGATTCCATAAAATAGTTATTATGCTAAAATTTTATCATATTTAACAATCTATGTGAACAATAAGTATAAATATAAAATTTATATTGTTTCATTACTTAAAATAAATTTATTTTTGTATAAACTATTCAAAAAAAATAAAAAAATTAAGTAGTTGAGTAATTTATTAAACTATAAATAATTGATATTTCGTTTACGTCCAAGTTAATATTTGACGCATAAGTTACTGAGTATTTTATTAAACTATAAATAATTGATTATCTCGTTTACGTCAAAGTTAAATCTGACCTGGAAGTTATGAATAATTATTTTTTTTTATTTTTAATTTTAAATAAAAATCTTTTTTTCAATATATTGTATACCAAATTTAAACCATGCAACTAATAAATTTAAGTTTAAATAATGCAACTAATAAAGGTAATAGCTAAAAGTTTTGTCAATATATTATATTCCAAGTTTAAATGATGCAACTAATAAAAGTAAAAACCGCAAGTTTTGTCAAAATATTCTATTTCAAGTTTAAACTATGCAACTAATAAAGGTAATAGCCACAATATTTGACCAAAATGATTATGTAAATTAATTATATTGATTTAGGCAAATTTTTTCAAATTTTAGGTAAAAAAGTTACCCAATTTAGTAAACCTAAATTTTTATGCGGGAAAACCAAATGTTTTTTTTATTGATTCTTAGTTACCATTTCAAGTAAATATCATTTTTTATATATTAGTAGATTTATTAAACTATAATAATTGACTATTTCGCTTGCGTCCAAGTTAATATTGATCCGTAAGTTATAAATAATTATTTTTTTGATTTTTAATTTTAAATAAACATATTTTTATTTTTTATTATATTATACACCAAATTTAAATCTGCAACTCATAAAGGTAATAGCCACAAGTTTTGTTAATATACTATATTTTAAATTTAAATCATGCCAGTAATAAAGGTATTACTGCAATATTTGATGAAAATGGTTTTTTACACTAATTACATCTGAATTTTTAGGTGGGAAACCACATTTTTACTGATTTTTAGTTACCATTTCAAATAAATATTATTGTAACACATAATTTTTGTACAACACATAATTTATATTGTCTAATATATAAAATGCTATTTTCTTCTTTTATTTATACGATGGATACTTAAATTTAAAACCACATGCATATTGCATAACTAAAAAGGTAAGGATGCGTTTTTCATGGGATACAGGCCAAATTTTGTGCTGAGTTGTTTGCCTTTGAGTAAAAGTTTTTTTAAAAAATTACTATATTTAGTAATCTTAAAATTTTAGGAGGGAATCTAAATAATATTTTAGTTACTATTTTTGAATTTTTAGGTTGCCTCTTTATATATTAATAGATTAAGATAAACATATGGGAAAAAAAAAAAGGCGGAAAGAA